TCCTCCTCCCCCGCACCCCCACAGGAGCGGAAGGATGTGCCCTACACGCAAACAGCGGGGGCCCCGAGGTTACATGTAGATGTGCGGGGAGATGATGTGGAGGGGTGTGGCGTTGGTGGGGGCCAGGGCTGCACGTGCAGAAATCAAAAGGTAAAAACACACAAAAAACACGCCACACCACGCCACGCCACGCCACGCCACGCCACGCCACACGCTTCCCGGGGAGGGGCGAAAGGAGGTCCCAACACTTTCTCACCTCACCATAGGTACACCCTCCCTCTACTACCCTCCTCCCTTCCACCCTTTTCCTAACCTGCCGCGAAACCGCCGCCCCCCCTAACCTGCACCGCCGCGCTGCTGTAGCATCCGAAGCTCCTGGCCGCCGCCGCCCTCACTGCCAGGCTCATGCGGTGGCTAGGGAGGGCCAGGTCGCTGCGCCGGGAGAAGCTGCTGCCGCCCAGGCCGGGCCCGGAGCCTGGCCGCTTGGCGCCCGCGGGGCCCCCGTCCCCAATCAGCGACAGCGACAGACCCGCGGTTCGCTTGCGGTCCATCGACGCCCGCATCTGGTTGGCGGTTGCGGTTGCGGCGGAGAAGGAGTTCCGGTTGAACATGATGCCTCCGTGAGAGCCGGGGCTTTCCCTGGGGGGCAGGGTAGGGTAGGGGTGGGTAGGGTAGGGGTGGGTAGGGTAGGGGTGGGTAGGGTTGGGTAGGGTTGGGTAGGGTTGGGTAGGGTAGGAGTAGATACGTTAAATAGGGTTGGGTAGGAAGGGGAAGGAGGAGGAAGGGGAACTACGGCCCGTGGTCCGGGGGTCAGTGGTTGCGGCATGGGGCTTGAGGAAAGGAGGGGGGGTAAGGCGAACCACTGGCGATTGAAGCAGATACGGCGGGGGGTGTTTTACATTTGATACGTGAAAACCCTGGAATAGCAGGGATAGCAGGTTCAGGATGGGGATAGCGGATCGGGGAGATCGCCATCATGACCGCGATACGAGATACTGGTCAATATGACGAGGGATGGAGCGGGCGGGATATGGTCTATGCAAAGTCAAGGAAAAACACCGCTAACGCCCCCTAGCGTAACCCAGATCGCCGAGAAACCTGTTGCGGAGAAACCTCTGCAGGAGGCTGTTGTCCTCCCCCGGAGCCGCCCGCCTTGGGAAAGTCCGTTCCTCCGCTTCAAAGCCCAAATCAAGTCCCCCCCCCCTCCCCCAAACCTCCCCCGTCCTCCTCCGCCTCTTTCCTTTCCCCGCCCCAACTCGCAACACCCCCCCCTCCCCCTTCCCCCCCTTGCCCCCGCTCCCTTCCCCGCCCCCCATTCCGCTCCCACATTTTGCACTCCGGCAGGTACATCTGAATGAGCCTCGACCGAATGAAGTCCTCATCCCCCGACAAGGAGACCGCGCTGGAGGGGCCGCCGGGTGTGGAGGTGCCGCCACCGCCCTCCGCCCCGCCGCCGCCCACAGCGCCCTGCACCGCCACACTGGGGTGCGCCCCGTCGTGCCCCACCACTGACAGCGCCGACAGCAGGGACAGCTCCAAGGTCCTCTCGCTGAGCAGGTCCTCCATCTCGTAGGCGAACAGCGCCATGGCGTCGCTGAGGAGCGGGCAGGGCGGTGTGAAGGGGAGGAAGGCGCGGGGGGAAGGACGAACCACGAACGAGTGAAGCTGCTGCCAGGGCAAGAGTGTACCAGACGTAGAGAACTGACCATAGAGGCGTTCTTGAAGTGCGGCGACCTCGGGATGACGTAGTGAAGAAGATGTCGGAAAACTACCTACCTAGCCGCCAAGACTATAATAAGCGCAGAAGAAAAGCAGTAATGCCAAGCCGTAAAGAAGTAAAGGTAGGTAGGTGTAGAGGCGGCGGAAAAGTAGTAAAAAAAGTGCTGTAACGAAGGGGGGGCGGATTAAAGATAAGGAGGGGAGGAGGTTGAGAGCAAGCACAAGAACGTCCCTCTTCCAAATCCACCCATCCCCCCCACCCCAGCCTTCACATTCCCTCCTTCCCTAACCCACCACCGCCACTACCACCACCCAAACGCACCCACCCACCCACCCACCCACCCACCAATCCGCATCCGTAAAGAAAGGCTCAAAGAAGATGTCACTGGTTCCCTCCGCCTCCCTCTTGTTGAGCGCCAGCACCACTGCGAGGACCCGGTCGTTATTGGCGACGTGTACGGGCTGCACCAGCACACTCTTGATGCGGAGGGGCGCCAGGTGTGCGGGCAGGCGACCTAGCGCGGGGTCCAGGTGGGGGTCGGCGAACTCCTGCGGCACACACACAGGGGGGTGGTGGGGGTCGGGAGGGGGGTGGTCGGGAGGTGAACGGAATACTTCACGGTATGCACCAGGAGGGAGTGCTGCACCAGAAATGTGCGGCGAGATGCAGGTATGATTAATGCGGAGGGGTAGCGGGGCGGAGGGGTAATGGGGTCAGGGGGGTCAGACCCGTCCCTGTGCCGCATCAGCAGGGCTGCCGCACCTCTGCTCCTCCTTCCCCCACTGCCGCATCGTCCCTCACTCCCAGCCATACGCTTCTTCCTCCCCACTTCTCCCAGGGCGACTATACCGCCTCTCCATCGCCCCACCTCACCCCGTACCG